GAAAGGTTTTATTGTGCATTTCTCTTTCAAAGGCTTTTTCAATCTTATCTTTTACTCTTGAGGGATAGAAATAGTTATTTTTATTTTTTAATTTTTTTGCAATCTTACAGGGCTCTGAATTTCTTTCTTTCTTTTCTTTTCTTTTTTTTTTTTTTTTGAGACAGGGTCTTGCTGTGTCACCTAGGCTAGAATGCAGTGCTGTGATCTCGGCTCACTGCAACCTTTGTCTCCAGGCTAAAGCGATTCTCCTGCTTCAGCCTCCATAGTAGCTGGGGTTACAGGTACCCACTGCCACGCCCGGCTAATTAGGGTTCTGAATTTCGGGACTCTCTTCATTTCCTTTCATTTTTGTTTATCAACCTGCCAACTCTTTCCTGAACTCACCTCTTTCATGTGTTACCTTGCCAAATGCAGACAATAATATCCAAACACATGCAACTAACATTCTATTTTCTAATCTCTTTTTCTAGAGCTTCAAGTTTATTAGGTACAAGATCTGCCTCTCAAGTTATTGCAGGCAATGGTTTAACTAAATGTTTTGTCATTGTAGAGCATGGATTATCATTTATCCAGCCTGCAATTTTATTGCCATTATGATGTGCTACCTGACCACTTTTTTTCATGCTTTTTGTTATGATAGCACTTTACTTCAAGGCATGAATTTCTGTAACTGCAGACATACTGTCATGTTGCAGTAGCATATCTTGATTAGATGCACTTTTTTTTCTTTTTTCTTTTTGAGAGAGTCTCACTCTGTAACCCAGGCTGGAGTGCAGTGGCACAATCTCTTCTCACTGCAGCCTCAACCTCCCGAGTAGCTGGGCTCAAGTGATCCTCTGAACCGAGCCTCCAAGTAGCTGGGACTATAGGTGTGTACCACTACACCTGGCCTCAAGTGATCTGCCCACCTTGGCCTCCCAAAGTGTTGGGATTATAGGCGTGAGCCACCACACTTGGCTAGATACACCTTTTTAAAATGAGAATAAAACCTTTTAAAAGTTGGATTTGTAAAACCAAATGTGTACATTTATATTATCATGATTCCCAGCTATCTCATGTTATTATTTGATTGGTTATATGTGCATGTTCACTTTTTTCCATGACTATTTTAAGCCCATTAAGGTAGAGACTTTAATAGTATAGTCTATTACCTGTGATAGTAGCCCCAACAAAATATATCATGGCTCCAAGCACACATAAGGGCATGAAAACATCTTGCTGATTTGGATGTGTGACAAACTATAATATGTTACTACATTTGAGGCTGTGTGTAACTTATGGCTAAGGCAACAGAGTCTTCTGGTGTCTTTTTTTGTGGGCTCTTGGAGTTGACTGTAGTAGTCTAGCTGTCAGTGTGTTGAATAATGGCTCCAATGCACTTTTGAAACTCTTAAATCTGGTGACAGCTTAGATCATGAGTGGTACAGAGCCAGTCAGTGAAGGGTTCCACCATTGTCAGCTGTGTGCCCATCATATGTTCTATATCTTGTCCCTGGTATTAGCACACGATTTGTGTTATAGGAAGTGCTCAATGAATGTTTGATGAGATAAGGATCTGAATCTGTTGATTCAGTTTGAACTCAGTGATAGCCAGTTACTAGTTTGGCATCCTGACAGGACAGTTGTTTTTACCCCAAAGGGGAAAACTGTGACCAAATTTAGCAAAGGTCAGTGTTGCCTCCTGCTTATGTAAAGAACCATTTTGTTCTCCCCTGCAATCTAGCAAATCCTCTTGTATTGAATTAGGCACTCTTGGTTCCAACTGATTTATTCATTCTTTATTTCAAGAGAGCTGGTATAGTCTATGCATTGAGGTATGGCTCTGAATGGAAAAGAGATCACTGAAGAAGATGAGTGATTCAATCCACTCAATTTAGTACACATTTAAAGGTCTATTGCACATGTTGCTTTGGGAGCATAAGGGATACAAGCAAAGATGAAAACATGGCTCTTGATTTCATGGAGCTAGCTTCACTGTGCACATGGAAGGTCACTCCTGGGGAGGCCTTGAAAATTCTCCATAAGTTGGGCTTAAGGGGTTCAGTCTGGCTAGAAGGAGTTGGCTAGGGGACTTGAGTCTATCTTTGCATAGAACACAGTTTAATCTAGATTATATATTTAAGGATGTATATTTGGAGAAGGAGTCTGGTAGAGATTATTGGAGGGAGGGTAAAGTTACCCAGATATATGAAGACCCCAGGGAACTATCCTAAAACATGTATGTGAGGGCAGGATACACCAAGTATCGGCACAAGAGGTTGAAGAAAGGAACAATGCCTGAAAGGGTGATTTGAAGAAATCTTTTTGTAGAAGTTACACTTCTGGTTGTTCCAGAGAGGGGTGCAGAGGGATGCACAGGCATGGAGGGGAGCAGGGTGGATGGAAGGCCTGTGATCACAGAATTCTGATCAGTTTTGGAGGGCCTTCCAATGAACCTAAGAACAACTTTCTCTTCATTTTCTTCAGGCGAAGAGTTGTTCAAACATGTTACGCTAGAGGAAAATAACTTTGCCCTGCTAGAATGTGTCCTGCCTTGTGAAAAGATTATGTGTAATTTTACCCGATCTTAATAGACGTAAAAAAAGATAAGTTACTGTTTTTTGGGGAATGTCTGTGTATCTCTAGGGCACAATGCCTGACATATAGAATGTGTTTAACAAATGTTTGACAACCTGAACTGATCTGAGACAAATTAACTTTTTGCAGGTCATTTAAATTTCATGTCAGAGCATTTAAAGCATTTTTTCTTCAAAAATTAGAAACAACATTTATTGTTTCTTGTTAAAATATGGCGCTCTCATGAGAAAAGAGTGTGCAAAAAGAGCCTTCCTTCACCCTTATCCCAGCAGGCTGGGACTGTCCTCACTGTGTAGGAGGGAAAGTTTTTCACCTACTCTTGGTAAATTAGGCTGCTCTACTGTAGTTTTACTTTTGATTACTTGCATATGTAAAAAAACCAAAAAACAAAAGGCAAAATCCAACAGCTAATAGGTTATCTCTCCCTAGGCATATAAGCCCAGTCCACCTGGACACAGATGTGGGGCTTAAGTCCAAATTCCCTTGTGCAGCCCAGGATTAGGTGGTACTTTGGAAATCAAGTGGGTGTTCCTGGCTAGGGATTGAAGGCGATCTCAGCCCCTGGTCAGCTGGTTGAAAACATCCAAAGTGCCTCCAGTGAGAAGCTGAGATTACCTCTTTAATGAGAAACACTTTGGGTGAGGTAGGGCCCACCGTCAACTGGTAGGCAGCATTCTTGCCACAGGTTGTATCTGGTCTAGAAACTACTAGATCTCCAAATCCTCTTGAAGTCCCTTACATTGACAAGAATGAATTCAAGTTTCAAAATGACACACCAAGTTATACAAGGTAGAGGATGTCATTAAGGCAATAGTCTCACCAAGTCCATGCACAGAGCTCTAATCCCACCTTCACCCTCCCCTCACTCTCCAAGTCTGCTTAGTTCTGCCCACTACTCTTCCTTCTCAGCAACAGTTCCAGCATCCAGAAGTCTTGAGCAGCCTTCAGCCTCACAAGTTGGGAGTGGCCTAATTCAGAAACTTCATGGCAACTTCAAGGCCAAGGAAACAGGCCGCCACATTGGCTGGGAAGGCTTGGGTCATCACTGCATCAGACCCTTTAGATAAGGATGTGATTCCTTCATCCCAGATGAGCTCCCTCAGCACATCTCCAAAACCATTAGGATATTTCCCAGGAGGTACAGTCTGGAAGTGAGACTTGAGCACATCTTGGGGAATTGCCACAGCCCAGTTGAAGATCCCTTCCATGCAATGCCCCCAGCCACCAGGATTCAAGGCGCACTGAGCTCACGGACCCTCTTTCCTTCAGGAGTGAAGATATTTTTTAGCCATTTATATGTTATGAATTACATTCCACTAGCTGGAACATCTCACATAAGGGTAAGCACGGTCCCTTTGTAGATGCCTCGGATCCCAAACTCCTGGTACAGCTTCTTTGCACAGTCCAAGGTTCCAATGTACTTGGTTTCCCCTGAAGAAGCCTGAAACTGTAACCAGCACTTGATGGGTGCTCCAGGGGTCACGATGCCTGTGGTGAATGTACCAGATAACATACCAGCTGCAAACAGCTGGGGATAGCTGAGCACATCCTCTGGGTGTTTCTGTCGTAGTTTCTTCCTTTAACCAAACCCAAAGAAGCACACAGCAAACATAGGGGTGACACCGATGATAGGAGCAGCCATTCACTGATATAGCCCCGTGATGCCCCTTCTAAGAGTCTTCGGGAGACAGTCCAAGGTCCCAGAATACATGGGAGGCTGTCTAGGCAAACTCGGTAGCTGTGTCTGCAGTCGGACCTTGACGGTGTCCAGAGGGTGCCCCATGAACAGCAGGCACATGCCACCAAAGCCGCTGGCCAGCAGGTTCTTGAGCGGGCTGATGGGCTTTGGCCGATCAGCCATGGTCAGTCCGCCTATCTCTGAGTCTGTCAGTTCCTGGGCCGTCCTGGCTCTGCTGCCCCAGCTGCAGCGCCAGGGCCGCCAATCTTGCATTTAAAGGCTTCTGCTTGCTAATTCATTTTGGTTAAAAAAAAATCATTCTCAGAGATAGCCAAGGTAATGGGCATTTATGTGTTGTATAAATGTGATATTATATATATGTATATATTTGTCCATGGCTCCTGGTTCATAACTCCCACAGCCCTCATTATATCCCAAGTGATAAAAATGATAAGCATATCTTTTGTTGGGGTATTTAGCTTTTTTGTCTTTGGTTACTGAAGCAGCTTCAGACAGCTTCAGAGCAATAAAGGTGAAAAAGACAGTCTTTTATTGTAATGTTGGAGCACTTTAGGCCTAAGAAATAGGTCTCAGAAAAAAGAATCTCCCTCTCTGAACTTCTGCCCACTTTTTCTCCCCAAGACAATAGAAATGGAAAATATCCTCTCATCTAACATCACTCCCACACCTTTTGTCTTGGGGCTGGTCATAAAGAAATTCTTTGACTTACCTTGTCTAATCATAGGCCATAAGACCCTCAATTCAGGAAGGGTCCTCCCCTCTACCCAGGAGGAAGGAATGCTGTTCACAGAGGCCAAGAAGAATCTGAACAGACAGGCCTGGCTGGGTTTCCTCATTCAACCTATTAATATCAGGTTATACCCTTTTTATCCAATCACATTTGTTTACAGTTTTCCATGTTGTAATCATGTCTGCCCAATGAAGATTCCATAAAAGGCCCAAGAGGATGGGATACAAAGAGTCTTTGGACCACTGAACTTGTGGAGGCTCTAGGAAAGGGGAACAGTAGCTTATCCCTGTGCTGGGAGGGTGGTGCACCCCAGCTCCATGGGAAGGAACACTTCCGCCTTGCGACCCTTTCAAACCTTGCTCTATGTACCTTTTCATCTGGCTGTTGTCTTGTATCCTCAAAAATATCTTTGGAATGTACTGGTAAATATAAATTAGTGTTCCCTAAGTTTTGTGAGCTGTTCTAACAAATTAATCAAGCCTAACCAAACTCAAGGAGTTTGTGGAACCTCAACTTGAGGCCAGTCAGTCAGAAGTCCCAGAGCCTTGGACCTGTGACTGGTGCTTAAAGTGGGAGCAGTTTTGTGGGAGCCCTCAGCCTGTGGGATCTGACTCTGCCTGGAGATAACGTCAGAATTGAATTGGATTAGAAGATGCTTAGCTGGCGTTGGATGCAGAATTGATTGCTTGCTGGTTGATGGAGATAAATCCCCACATATATGGTCATGGAAGTCTTTTGCATTGCTGGTAGTGGTGTGAGAGCAGAGGAAAACAGTTTGTTTTTTCAACACAATGAATAATGATTATTTATTAAGCACCAGTAGGAGTCTAACCATGGGGTTAAAAAATAATTAGTTCAGGGAGATAACAAAACTACCAGGGTATATCATTTCTGAATCTTTCACTGATGTCATTTCATTCCTTTAGTTTTGTTTTCCCGTTCATAAAATGGAGGTAAAGATAGTTTAGTACCAAGGCTCCTCTAAGGATGAGTTTTCTCCCATTTAAATCACGATTCATATTGCATGACTAGAAAGTAGAACATATGGTCCGTGACAAGGGTGTTGGCAATTTGTGGGAGAACAAAAAAGATTTGACAACAATTTCTAACTTGGTTCATCTCCGTAGTAAATTAAAAATGTTGCTCTGATTTGTGGGCACTGGGGGTGGAAGTAGGGTAGAAGGAAAGAAAAATTTGGTCCTTTTCCTGTCATCCCTTTCTTTAGGGTCCCCTTTTGTTCCCCTTCGGGAAATGGAATAAAAAAAAAACCCCTGCATTCGTCAGTAACTCTGGGTCAACCACAACTTAAAGACAGTAAGCAGGTCAATCAAAACAGGGGCAATGATTGCTATATAACTAACAGGTACTCTCATTGATAGAACACAGGCATACACAGGAAGATACATTCACAGAAAGAGCTTCCTGCACAAAGCAAGCAACCAGTGCAACATGACAGTGAAGACCCTGCATGGCCCAGTAATGGTGAGTAGCAACAATCATTCTGGTTTAAGGACAGTCATGCCTAGGATTTCAGGAAAACAGAATTCTAAGGAGTTAGGTTTGATTGGGGTCTTTTTGGAATTACTTCTTTAAAAAACAGAGATGACTTTAATTTTGACTCCTGTCTGGTGGCAAAAAAGAAAAAAATAACTAGAAAAGTTATAATGGCATAAAAATGCAGCTCCTGGCCAGGTGCGGTGGCTCACGCCTATAATCCCAGCACTTTAGGAGGCCAAGACAGGTGGATCACATGAGTTCAGAAGTTCGAGACCAGCCTGGCCAACATGGCAAAACCCGATCTCTACTAAAAATACAAAAATTAGGTCAGGCCCAGTGGCTCACGCCTGTAATCCCAGCACTTTGGGAGGCCGAGGTGGGCAGATCACTTGAGGTCAGGGGTTCGAGACCAGCCTGGCTAACTTGAAACCCTATCTCTACTAAAAATACAAAAATTAGCTGGACGTGGGGCAGTTGCCTATAATCCCAGCTACTCGGGGGGCTGAGGCAGGAGAATGGCTTGAACCTGGGAGGTGGCGGTTGCAGTGAGCCAAGATCACACCACTGCACTCCAGCCTGGGTGACATAGCAAGACTCTGTCTCAAAGAAAAAAAAATGCAGCTCCTCACTCAATGGCTTTTGCCCAAGTGCTGTTAGTATGTGCAGTCCTTGGCATCACAGACAACTAGCAGGTTCTCTCCTGTGGCCATCCATTATAGAGTTAGGTTAGCCTGAAATTCTTATCTCATGGTGGGAGCTTGGCCAGCCCTTTAGGGATTATGTAGATATACATTTTAACCAAGGAAACTGAGGCCTCAAAAGGTTTAATGATTCCCGTGAGACCGCAGGAGTGCCCTGGGTAGAAGAAGTGAAATCACCCAGTGTTGACTTTGGACAGCTCCTCGAGAAGGGAAATTTCCCATGTCTCTGATTGCTATTTATTTATTTTGCACCATCTCATTCTTCTTGGAGGAAAGAGAGATGTCAATGCAATGAAAATCTAGCCCCAGCAGGTCTGGAATCTTGCCTGGCATTAGTTAGATAAGGCCTGGGAAGAATTTACTACAGAGGCACATGAAAACAGAGGTTAGGAAATCCTGCATTTTATTATTGGCTTAGGTAATTTCCTTGTTTTCTCCTTTTACAAGCCATATAATTTAAAAGAGCTTGAATATCACAAAAGGTTCATGGCATATAGCAATGGTATGTTTTAATTTATTTTATATTTATGTGTTATTTTAAAGATTACATGTAGTGCAGCAAAGTGCCATATTTAGGGGCTTAGGCTCTGATGTCAGGCATATGTGGCTCCACTGCTTGCTAACTGTAGGATTTTTGGGTAAGTTATTTATCTTCTCTGTGCCTCAGTTTCCTCAACTGTACAGTGGAGATAACAATGGCATCTTTCTCATGGCATTTATTGGGAGGATTAATTAACATCTTTGAGAATAAATGAGTCTGTACTCTGTACTGGCAGATTTGTGTATGCTTAAGTTTCAGTTAATTTGGCCATTCTAATAAACAACAACTGGTAATGATAGAGAAAGCATTCAGTAAGTATTAACTGTTCATATTAATATTGTTATTATTATCCTGGAAATTCTGATCAATCCTCTGAAGTAGATGGGGATACTTCCTACTTTATACAGATGAACAAAAGCTCAATTAAGCTATTTATTTAACTTTTCTGGATACTGTAAGCACAATAACTGGTACACCAATCTAAGCTTTCTGGCTCCAAGTACACTATGCTTCTCTTTGAATGGTTCGGAGGCAAGATTTCTGAATTTAAAGCCATTGCATCCAAGCAATTCTGTTGGGTAGCTTTGTGCTCCATAGCTATTTCTATTTCTAGTTTCCTTAAAGAAATCTGTTGGGTTGTCAGGAGGAAACATAACAGTGCAAGGAGCATTGGGATAGAATTAGAAGTTGAGAGGTGCAGACAGATAGGACATCTTCAATAAGTAGTTGAGGCAAATTCTCATGGACCTAGCGGTTGACCAGGTGCATGCTTACGGGAGAACACACATTGCTGGTGAGTATAGGGGGTGAATATTCAGGTTGCTCAGATGGGCTCACATTAGAGTGAAGTGCAAAGCTAGGCTGAGAAGGTTGGTGTCCTGTTACAGCTCACCTTCACCTGGTGCTTTCCCTTGCCTCTGTCCCCTGTTCTACAGATTGAGAGCAATATCATTCATCTGCTTTCTAGGTGGCATATAAGAGTTCAAGTCCATACAATGCTCTGAATTTCTCTGAGAGGTACTGTTTAAATCATTCTTAAGAACCAGCGACAGCCTGGTTCAGAGCCCCTGCTCTGTATTACATAACCACTAACATCTACAGTTTCAGATCAAAAGCTTTGTGGAGCAAATTGGAGTAATTTGCAGACATCATCTGATTTCCTGATAAAGAGCTATGTGACCTACAACACGTATGCACATCTAGTTCAGCTGTCACATCGCTTAAAATGCTTGGCTCTTCTAATGAGATAAAACTAAGATTAATGTTGGTAATAATAAAAATAACCTTCAATGGCAATAGCACTGACTACTGACACCTAGGTTTGAGTCCTGAGACTGGTACTCATATGCTGGTGAACCCAACCAAGTTATTTATTCCCTTTGGGACAGAACTCTTTCACCTGTCTAATTGGGATAATTAATACTAGCTCTGTCTACCTCACCAGGTAGTTGTGAAAATCCAGTAAAAGCGTTTTCTAAAATACTCTATATTAGCAAATATAATAACTTGTTAGAAACATGGTAATTATTGCTAAATCATAGAACTCCAATGTATGTATTTAAAAGCTTTTGTAATGAAAATTAATAGTGATTCAGTGAGTATGACACAGAAGAGGAAAGAGAAAACACAAAGGAGGAATTTACTTAAGAACGCTAAAGATGTGATTGATAGGCTTGGGAAGTTATCTAAGACCCTTTAATATAAGCTGACATCTTTAAAAAAAAAAGTCATAGCAGTCCAGGCACGGTGGCTTAGGTCTGTAATCCCAGCACTTTGGGAGACCGAGGTGGGGAGATCACTTGAGGTCAGGAGTTCAAGACCAGCCTGGCCACATGATGAAACCCTGTCTCTACTGAAAATACAAAAAATTAGCAGGTGTGGTGATACACATATGTAATCCCAGCTACTTGGGAGGCTAAGGCAGGAGAATCACTTGAATCTGGGAGGTGGAGGTTGCAGTGAGCCAAGATTGTGCCACTGTATTCCTGCCTGGGCAACAGAGTGAGACTCCATCTCACAAAAAAAAAAAAAAAAAAAAAAAAAAGCCATAGCACTTTGTCAAGACAGAAGGTATATGAGCATGAATTCCACATCTATCTAGTCTACTGTGTAGCACAATATAGAGTTAGCAAGTTAGAGTCGCCAGTATTGGATACTTATCATATGCTGCCACTATTCTTCATGATTTATGTGGATCATCTCATTTAATCTTCACATATATATACATTTTTTTTTTTTTTTGGAGGAAACAGAATCATAGTTGCTAAGAGTCCTGGAATTGAGTTACAGACCCTGGACTTCTGACTCTGAAGCCCATGCCCTGAGCTACCACACTATAAAGTCAAGAACTAGCTGTTGAATGAACGAACGATTGTGGGGGATGAAAGTTGATGCTTGCTGATTATCTAAAGGCAAATTAGCCTCATTCTGACTTTTCTGGGTCAACCTTGCTTTCAACTTCTTTTTAATATCAGCTTCCTCAGTATGGCAAATGGACCCTATGACCTTTTTGTTTACTCTTATTAGTTTTTTGTCTCTAGTATCTGCAAAATGTGAAAAGGAGAGCCTTTGAAACCAACATGTCTAATCACCTTCCCTATCTTAACTCATGGAAGGTGTGAGCCTGAACAACGCTAAGCCTAGAGAATAAAAGCAACTTATCTTCAGCTCTTCTTCTGTATTATGTTGAGAGTCTGTGATGGGCCTTGCTCATCCCCAGTAAGGGTCAGTGGCGATGGTGGGTGAGCAAAGCATGGTTGTGACAAAGGGAATCTGGCAAGATTTTTAGCTTTTCTTTTCATTAGGTCTTCGGGGCACTTTCATTCTTTGTACATTACTATAACACCAGATAAAGTGGCGTTTCAATGTAAGTATAAAAAAAACGCTCCAGAGCTAAAGAGAAATAGTTTCCATATTCTCCGTTGTTGTGCATCATTAGTGCCCCGGTTTCTTTCAATTAGCATGGATAATTGGAACTTTGCTAACGTTGGTTTTGCATAATGTTTTTCTTAATGCAGTCAGCTTAACTATATAGTTCAATTTAACTGTATCGTTTTGTTCATTCATTCACTCACTCACTCTTTCATTCATTCCGAAAGTGTTTATGAACATGTGTAATATGCAGGAACTTACAATCTAATGGGTGTAGATCTGACAGGAACACAAATACTACATTTCCAGACAATTAAAAAATGCTGCTTGAGTGCTAGATGATCAAAGCTTTATAATTTAAGGATAATAAACATATTTCTGATTGAACCATTTTAGAGACTGTTCTTAGAGGAGATCATATCTGAACTGGGCCTTAATGGAAGGGTAGGATTTTGACAGACAGAGTATTCTAGGCAGTGTATTCTAGGTGGAGGAGTGGCTTGGAGGAAGGATTTTGTGGGAGATTCACGGGATATCAAGTTGGAAGTAAAAACAAGAGCTATCGTTTATTAAGCCTCTATTTTCGTTTTACAGATTTATAGGTGTTTTATATAGAACATGCTATTTAATCTTGTTAGTAGTCTCATAAAGTGAGCATTATTATCCAGTTGGAAGGAAGAGAAACTAGAGGCTCAGCAAGGAAGCCAGGATAGGATTTTAACCGAATCTCAGACCCTGGCATCTTTCTGTCTCACTGTTTAGAAGCTCTTAGACTCTGGAGGGCTTCACTTACTAGCTAGGCTAATGAGTTTAGTTCTCAGTTTGGCACCTTGATACCTTTAGGTATGAGTGTTCCCATTTCCAGGTGAGGAACTGAGGTGCAAAGAGAAGCCCTGATCCCATAAAAGGACAGGAATGCTGAGTTCCACAAAAGCATGCATCTCTTGCTAGTAGGTGAGGTGAGTCTCTAACTGATTGCAGCCTCTTCTGGTTTCCAGGTCAAGTACTTGCTGCTGTTGATATTGGGACTTGCCTTTCTGAATGAGGTGGCAGCTAGGAAAATCCCCAAAGTAGGACATACTTTTTTCCAAAAGCCTGAGAGTTGCCCACCTGTGCCAGAAGGTAGTATGAAGCTTGACACTGGCATCATCAATGAAAACCAGCGTGTTTCCATGTCACGTAACATCGAGAGCCGCTCCACCTCCCCCTGGAATTACACGTAAGTGCAAATGAGACTGATCTTCACATTCTTTGGAAAAATATGTTAATTCTTTCTTATCATAAAGTAGAAAATGTAGAATACGCAGAAAACATACAAGGGAAAATCCTCTTAACAATGAAAATTTCATTTTACCTGGGAGCTCACATCTTTCTTGTTTTGGGCTAGGTTTACCTTTGTGGTTGATGGTCCTAATATTTTGCTTCCACATTGTCATAAACTCTGTACCTTTTTCTGCTTCGTGTAGCTCTAGGATAGAATTCACAAATTTTCCTGTGTTGGAAGAGAGGGTTCTTTAAAGCAGATTGCATAATTATCTCCGCATGAGGATAAATGGGAAACAGAAAAGTTGGTTCAAGGAGATCCACTCAGATTAGACATTATCCTTTAAGGAGTGGGAATGAGTGGAGGAGAAAGGCCAGTCTGGGAAATGGGATGTTAGGTGGAGACCTTCAGGGTAAAGTCTTGTAATCTGGCCTTAAGATACAGGTTCTTGGAACACCAAGCACCCCCTCCTACTCTCCAAATGTAAGTATAAAAATAGATTCCAGGGACAATTGAAGTGTTTCTGGGGTTGTCATGTAGCTTCTCATGTGAGTGTGTTATGAGAAAACCTTGGGACTGTAGTGCCCCCTGCCTCAAACTGGGAAGATGTGGAGAGACCAAAGAATGACATGGACAAGTCCAGCTTAGCGAGTAGATGAGTTTATTAAGACTTACATATGGGGCGCCCTAGGGCCACAGCAGGACAGATCTAGAGATCCGCCCTGCCTCCCATCTCTAAGCTGATCATAAGCAAATTTTCTGGCTCTTTGCCTACTGTGTGTGTCCAATGGGACTGTTTCCCTTGGTAGGTTCTCAGATACTCTCTGAGATATTTGGGTTCTCAGTGGCCTGCTCCTTGGCTGTGCTGGTGGCCCTGGCTCACTGCCCATCCTTCATGGTTCAGACAGTGGATACACACCCTCAAGTAACTTGGTGGGAGTCCTGTCGCACTACAAGTGGAGTATGTACAGTGGCAAGCTGGCAGGATAAATGTTGCGGTCTTTATGCCTCCAGGCAGAGGGACCTATTAAAGGAGAAATGGAGAGAAGGTCTGAGATTCACAGACCTCTGGGACTGTGGCTTTCCTTTCCAAGCAACAGGCTCTGTAGTCCGACTAGTGATGGAAGACTGACTAGTGATGTTCAATCTCCAGGCAGAGAATAAAGAATAATTGTAATAATAATAATGCCAATAAGAGATCTAATGTGAATTGAATGCTAACATTTGTACAGTGGGGTATTTTATATGTACTTGTATCACTGAGCATTCTCAACAATTGCATGAGAAAATGGAATATGAAAATCCCCATCTTATAATTGAGGAAACTGAGGCTTAGAAAGGTAAGTCACTGCCAGAGGCTGGTGTATGCTTCCAGGCTGTGTGGCTCCGGAGCCTGTGCCACAGCCCTGCGGAACTACCTCCCTGCAGGTGAGCACCCAGTGCTGTGGGGCTCTCATTCGCTGTCTTCCTCCCCCATGCCTCACCATGGTGCTTTGGCTTGCTCCTCCTGCAGTGTCACTTGGGACCCCAACCGGTACCCCTCGGAAGTTGTACAGGCCCAGTGTAAGCACTTGGGCTGCATCGATGCTCAAGGAAAGGAAGACATCTCCTTGAATTCCGTTCCCATCCAGCAAGAGACCCTGGTCCTCCGGAGGAAGCACCAAGGCTGCTCTGTTTCTTTCCAGTTGGAGAAGGTGCTGGTGACTGTTGGCTGCACCTGCGTCACCCCCGTCGTCCACCATGTGCAGTAAGAGTTGTACATCCACTCAGCTGAAGAAGCTGTAGAAATGTCACTCCTTATCCAGTGCTCTGCAACAAGTCCTGTCTGATCCCCAATTCCCTCCACTTCACAGGACTCTTAATAAGACCTGCATGGATGGAAACAGAAAATATTCACAATGTATGTGTTTATGTACTAAATTTTATATTTGATATCTAAAATGTTAGGAGAAAAATTAATATATTCAGTGCTAATGTAATAAAGTATTAATAACTGAAAAATACTTCAGGTGTCTGTTTGCAATTCCAGCTTGTACTCACGGACTGTGTAGCCCTACAGATTTTGGAATTCTATATGCCTATCATTTGTTTTTCATATTTCCTTATCAGAGCACCAGTGTTAGAGTTGTTTTGTTATTAATGGTGCCTGGAGATTGGTTACATAAAGAGTTAAGGAAAATGGTACAAACAGAACTCAGGTTCCCTAGGGACACTTTACTGCTTCGTTATCCCAACTACATTATTTTACAAAGCAAGTATTTCTTGGCCACTGTGCTAGCCAGTGGAGATACAAAGAAAAGTAAGAAATGCATATGAAGGGCCATGTGTTGATAGAGGCCATCCAAAGAGCCCCTGGTCATGAGGGCCATGGTGGCCACTTTGTTTCCTCCTCTGACTTCTGGGCCCTTTAGGGGTCACTGGTTATCTTTTGTCCATCTCTTACACATCTTAGAGGCACCCAAACTTCCAGATTCTGATCTCCATGCCACTCTGAGGAAACTGAGAGGTCTTCTGGTGCCTCTGTTGCACACCACATTTTCTCCTTTACTTCCACCATGCCACTAGCTCAGAGTACATCTGCATGGCTGCTGCCTCCCAGGTTCCAGAGAGAAAGTGGGCTATAAGTTCTCACTCCCACCTAGGACTTGGCTTGAGGATGGACAGTCGGCAGGAGCCTGGCTCCCATTTTGAACTCTTTAGTCTGTTGGTGGGTGTGGAATGGGAGTGGTTGGAGAGGCTAACTCTTTCATCTCTTTGCTCCAGAGTCTTGTACTTAGGATATAAATATTGACTTTTGTACTTAAAATGTTCAAATGTTCAGGTTCTTTTTTTTTCTGAGACGGAGTCTAGCTTTGTTGCCCAGGCTGGAGTGCGGTGGCGCGATCTCGGCTCACTGCAAGCTCCGCCTCCCGGGTTCATACCATTCTCCTGCCTCAGCCTCCCGAGCAGCTGGGACTACAGGCGCCCGCCACCACGCCCAGCTAATTTTTTGTATTTTTAGTAGAGACGGGGTTTCACCGTGTTAGCTAGGATGGTCTCGATCTCCTGACCTCGTGATCCGCCCGTCTCGGCCTCCCAAAGTGCTGGAATTACAGGCGTGAGCCACCGCGCCCGGCTTGTTCAGGTTCTTAAAATGTAAAATACCTTCCTCTCATAGCTATCAGCTTCACAATTTTACTCTAAATCTCACAAGTTCATTGTGATGCTCAAATCTGTGTGAAGAAAGTTTTCTCTGTTCATTTTGGCAGTAATAGCTGTACCCTAGGCGTAGTGCATATAAAAAACCCTCTGTCTGGGTAGTGGGGGAAGTATAAAGGAAATTTCAGGGGGAAAAGAATTGCACCACTGAGTGTATCAAGATACCATCTCAGCCCAGTGTGGTGGCTCATGCCTGTAATTCCAACACTTTGGGAGGCCAAGACGGGAGGATTGCTTGAGACCAGGAGTTCAAGACCAGTCTAATCAACACAGACCCCATCTCTCTCTCTCTCCACATACACACACACACACACACACATACACACACAATTAGCCAGGCATGGTGGCGCACACCTGTAGTCCTAGCTACTTGGGAGACTGAGATGGGAGGATCGCTTGAGCTAGAAGTTGGAGGCTGCAGTGAGCTATGATATCATCATTGCACTCCAGCCTGGGTGACAGTAAGACTTTGCCTCAAAAAAACCCAAAAACAAAAACATTATATCATATTTCATTACACATGTACCCATGTACTTTCAAGGCAGTGTGCCAAATACTATAATCAAGGTATGAAATGGTAGGAAAATATAGGAAATTCCTGGAAAGTTTCAGACACAAGATGACTTTTGCACTGAGATGAATATGAATCGGTTTGGAGGAAGATGTGGGAAAGGCATTCCAAGCAAATGTAACAGCATGAGCAAAGGCAAGAGATGCAAAAAAACCTGGTATACTGGGGGACTGAAAGTAGTTCTATGTGCTCGGGATACTGTGGACATGGGGACATGGTGGGGAACACATAACAAATGTTTCTTTAATGAATAAATGAATGAATTCACTTGGTAGTAGACAACAAACAGTGGGCAAATGGGCCACTCAGGGATGGTTTTGTAAGCTCTGTTTCAGGAACGACAGGAGGATAGCTATATTTCACAAGGTAGCTTTGGTGATAGAGTGCAAAAGGGATCAGAAACCTGAAGGCCAGTGAGAAGATCAGAGAGAAAGCAACTTCACTCCGACAGTACACTCACAGTTTTAGAGCTGGATGAGCCCCTATAGATCACCTGGTCAACCCTTCTCATTTGCAAATGTGGCCCACAGGAATTAGGCGACTTGCTCAAGGTCACTTGGTAGGTAGTAGCAGAAACAGGTTCATTGACTCCAAGTTCATGACTTTTGATATGGGTTTTGCAGCAACGCTGTAGGGTGTCCAATAAAGATCCATTTCAGTCATTCCTCTATGTGGCCTCAGGCTGGCCCTGAGAGAGACTATGTGGTGCTCTGAAGCCTGGGGCCTTGAGTCACAAAGCTTCCTTCTGTGGCTTCTGCACTGAGGGTTGGCTGTCCTTCAGGAAACTGCATGTCCTCTCCTGCTCACAAGGTGGCGAACTGTGTCCAGTTGTTCCCAGATTCCTCAGCATACACTGAAAGGAAAGAAATTACTGCTTTATGGGTAATTTGTTTTATTTGGTGACTGGAAGCCACTTCTGAGGCACAGTGAGTAGGCTGTGTTCTTCCGCTCTGCGCTCAGGTTTCTGGGAGTGCCTTTGTTTTTCTTGTAGGAGAAATGGCTGAAGTTGAGCAGTTTAGGTGTTCAAATACAACATTGCATCATAATGTGTGGAGAGAGAAACCTTTGTTTCCACATGGAAACTTGAAAGCATATAGTCTTTTATTTCCATATCCAGTTCTTTTTGATGAATGGTTGGCTAAGGGGAAAAAAACCAACATATTCTTTCTCTGTCTCTGTTTCTGTCTTCTTTTCCCATTCCCTACCTCCCCAAATTTGGATAAAAGTCACCTATATATATATAAAGCTCTGTGTGATAAATTTTACTTGTAATTTACAGTGAGAAAAATAGAAAGTTGGTTTTTCTTCCCCGACTCCCTTCCATAAAAGGAGAGGTAGAAAATATGCATTTAATATGTAGACAGCTCTTGGCTTTGAATCCTGGTTCTACCACTTTCTCAGAAGGACACAATTTTGTCCTTCTGAGATTCAGCTTCTTCATACGTTAAATGCAATATAATATCTATTTTAAGAGCTCTGTGTAAAGTAATTGAAATTTAAAAAAATGTAAATTACTCAGTACAGTAACCAGGTAATGGTAGGCTTGGTAACTAGGAGTCATTATTTCAAGAGGCACAGGAGGACTTAGGTTTCCCATTTTGCTTGGCCCAAAGAAACTCAGAACCCACTTCTATGTTTAAATACCACAGTTTGCTGGCAGATTAGACATTCGTAAAAGAAAAAAAAATACCACAGTTATATTGTTCCTCATGGTTTTCAAATTTGCTTTAATTTCTATACATATATTAATATAGTATAGTATATATAGTACAAGTATATATTAGTATATAGATCCTATGTTTAAATCAATTTTCCATCTGTGAAAAGTTAAGAAAGCTATAGATTCAATTCATTAAAAAAATTCCCCCTGGACCCAAATGTCTATCGCATCCCTCTCCACTGGTATAAATTGGAAGAAAAATATTTTTAGCTTAATAAGTTTTAGGAGTGATACATGTTCAGCTAGATAAGTGTGTGCTTTGAAAATTGTGACCTTTTCCTGGCTACTTGCCAGTTCAGTGGGTACTGATTTTGAGAATTTTGTTTAGTAGTGAAGAAGAACATATTTCAAAACTAAGATAAAAAATGATCACTATTTGAGCATCAAGATGTTCTTGCCAGCAAAATGTTGATTTCTTCTCTTAAATGGTACAGACACCACGGCAATATCAGAGAGCACAGCATAATGACTAAGTGTGTGGACACTGGAGCCAGATGCCGGGTTAAAATGTCAGTTCTGGACCTTACTAGCTGTACTAGTTGCTAAAGATTTGGGTCATGTTACCTAGCCTCTCTGTGTCTCTTTTTCCTCAAATGTAAAACAGAGATGACAATAGTGCCTACTTCATAAAGTTATTGAGAGGATAGAATAATAATCTGTAAGGTAATTGGAATAGTTCTTGGCATGGTAGGCGTATTGTTTAGTGTATTATTAAGAAAGATAAAATCTATCTATTACTCTACCAGAATAATAGATCACGTTAATATTTTTCTTTCTCTTCTGCTCATTTGCCTCACAGATATATATTTTATAAGGCTGTAACTGTAACATGCATGCAATTTGTATTTGGTAATTTTTAACTTCACATTATACTCTATGTATTTCCAATGTTTCCATAAAGTATTCACAATGATTTTTAGTAGCTGTGTAATTCTTTCAAGTTGATGAACCAGAGTTTATTTAGTTACTTTTTTATTTTTGGAGTTTTTGCTCCAAATATAAAAGAATAACTATTAACTTAAAAAGTTAAATAATGCTTGTAACTGTTTTAATTACTTTTTAAAATTATGAACTATGTAATACAAACAGAAGAGTTTATGTCTTTGTACATGGATAGTTGCCTTGCATATCAAAATTCTGTGTGTGTGTGTGTATGTTTTCATATCTATAGCCTACCTTGGGGCCAATTAGTTAATTTCTCTGAGTCTCAGTTTCCTCAACTATAAAGTGGGGTGATAATGTCTGTCTCATAGGATTGTAAAGCAGATTAAAAGAAATAATACATGTAAAGCATTTAGGGCAGTTCCCAGTTCCAACCAGCTGTTTTAGTCTTAGTGGTTATGCAGAGCCTGTGGATGAATGTTTCCATCTTTAAATTCTTGTTTTCAAAGTCAAAGAAATCAATACATTAGACAAAAATGAGTTTATGAGTTGTTCTGGGGTTGTGACTGTGAACATATTCAGAGCCTTCTGATTCCACTGGCTTACCTCTGTGGTTTTGTTA